AGGCACGCTGCATGTGGTCGCCTTCAGCCTCTCCATCCACCAGTATTCTAAAGAGAGGTGTAAAAAGAAACCAAGATGATGATTCCCTGTCACCTGCTAATAAGGTATTGCGATGTGATTCGTTCTGTGATACTCACAATTATATTCGGAACTGGGATGTGTACCAATGTCTGTAGTGTAATGAGTTCCAAATATTTTGAATTGCTGTCTCTTTTTTAAGTGATTTTTATGCTGGGGCTGAAGACTTACAGGTTTCTTTTTGGAATGTACAAGTACTGACAGGCTTGCAGTACTGGGGCTCAGGGTGGGGAGTTTTGTTTTTGAAACCGAGTGCCAAAGTTTGAGCTGCTGCCTGGGCTGCAGTGCAAGAGATGTTACAGCAGAACCACTGGATATACCACGGGATTTTGAGCAGCTTTTTGTGAAATGCATTTAATGTTTCCTTTGGCAATGAGGAAGCCACAGTTTCTGCCCTTGGGTGAAACATGATTAGTGTCATTCGAGAACTTCAATGACTTTATTTCGAACTGAGCTGTTTTCTCTCCTCAGACTGACTTCACCAGAGTGTGGTGGTTGTGTTCACACTATAAAAACCGCTTCTCTCTAAAAACAGATTCGCCGAGTCTCTTTTGCAAATCCGATTTACCAAGAAGGCCTGGCAGATGACATCGATAGGAGGAGTCCTGTCATTCGATCCCATTCTTCTTCACCACCTTCACGAAGTCTTAAAATTTTATCTAATATTCAGGCTAAGGTGAGTTCTGTCACGTGTATCCTGTATGTCCTAAGTACTCGTTTATCATAGGTAAGGCTGCTTTATTCGTGTATGTTCATAGTCACTTGCAAACAATTGTTAGAGCAGAGAATCAGTGTAAGAAATAGTTGTAACGGGTTTAGCCTGACTCATTCTGTTACTCTCGGAAGACAAAAGTGTGCTGAGATCTAGGTAGCTAGAATCTTGCGATTTAACTGATTTCCTGCGATCCTGAGAGATATTTTTTCCTCTTTTTCTATCCAGCATATTACCACTCCAACCAAAGGATTTCTGTCCCCAGGATCTCGTAACCCTAAATTTAAGAGCTCAAAGAAGTGTTTAGTAAGAAGTGCTTTGGTTCATGTATCTCTTCTAATTTTTTCCTGTATTCAGTTGTGTGATAGTTAATTTAATGATTTTTCTGTCTTATTCAAGATCGCGGAAATGGCGAAGGAATCGCTGCCGTGCCCTACAGAATGCGTGTATCCTGCACTAAGTGGCTGCAAAGCACCGGTCGATGTGATTTTACCCCAGATTACATCCAACATATGGTGAGTGGATTGTTGCTTTGGAGGATCACATTTAATAGAACCTGAATTCTGACTGAGCCTGCAGAACCAAAATTTTCTTAAAAGGAGGGAAGTTGATTTTGTGGGGGAGAGATGACTTTATTTTGGAATTATTCCAGTCTTTTTTTGTAAGACTGGGAAGATTGCCACCCTTCCTGTGTTCCTGGGTGCAGAGCAGACTGATCTTGATGGTCTGTAACAAAGCAGTTGGAGGATTGGGGGGGGGAATCTGCATTTGAAATGTAGAAAGGCTGGGTGCTCGGCTAGCTTGCACTGCCCCACCATGCCAGGCAGAAAGGACGTGAGGTCGGGCACAATAAACCATTTTTCTTTCTCCCCTCTTGCAGTGCCAGAGGCTTGGGGCAGCTCATTCGAGCAAAAAACATTAAGACAGTGGGTGATCTGAGTACTTTGACAGTATTGGAAATCAAAACTCTACCCATCCGCTCTCCCAAAGTTTCCAATGTTAGAAGAGCTCTTAAAGGATATCACGAGCAACAGGTACAGTTTCCTTTTAGTACCCGGAAAAACAGTATTGGCCTAATGGACTGCTCATGTCCATCTTGAGGAACAATGTATTTTTTTCCCCCCATTAGAAATAGCACTTTAAAACTCAGTCTCTGCGTGTCAGAGTAATATGGGGATTCAAGGTACAGATGGCTTGGTTACAATATTATTAACAGGAATAATTATTGTATTTATTGTGAGGTTAGAACATGTCCCACCATGTAATCTTTTTTTTTTTTTTTTCCTCTGAAAATGCATCTCTTGTTCTCTCTTAAAAAATCTTCAGGTAAAATCTCGAGGATTTGAGGAAATAGCATCACTTGAAGATGCAGAAAAGCCCATAAATAATGTAGAGGATAAATCTCCTTCTGGGGATGAGGAAAAACTTGCAACAGGTACCTACTGCCTGCTTTATCCTTGTGGGTGTTTGTGCTGCATTGCTGCTTTCGTTGGCTCCTAATGGGAACACTTGATTGTTAGGGTGTGTTGAGAGGGTGGGTGCGCTCAGAAACAAGCAAGATGGATCAGAGATTGTTGAGAGCTACCTGTCCCTACGGGGGTGGGACGGGAGGGGGACGATTCCCTGGTTCTGGATTTGGGTGCAGATTTTTATTTGAACTCTCCTGGGTGGAGTTTGGTCTGACACTCAGACAGACGAATCCATGCCAGTTCTTCCTGCAAGGTACTTGAACTATTGGATAACTGGAGAACAGAAACTCAGGAGTAACTTCTCAGCTGTCTGGTTTAATTAAAAGTTGGACTTTGGGGTCACACGTGTTGAAGGACATGGGCAGTATCTGGGTGATATCAAATACTTTCATTTCTGTCCGTAGTTTTATGGTACAGTCATGCTCAGATATAATGAAAGTCACCACTCAGAAGGGCAGCGCGGACCTCCGCAGGGTGCCTTTGTCAGCAGATCTCATGTTGTGTGGCACAAATACTTTGCAGATGTCTCGAATATGTTATTTTGTACAAAAGCAGCTGTGACATTCCACCACAACATGATTCTGCTCATACTCAAACCCGACCCCCAGCCCGCACTGCCCTGCTTTCCTTCCTTTTCAGATCTGATTGAACCTGTTGTCTCGAACACAAGTGACCAGCCTCCAGCAGATCTTGTGAGCCAGATCAATGCCCTTGCTGCTCAGCTGACCTCTGAGGATCTCCACTGCTATTCGGGAAGCCAGCTTTTCGAGATCCAAGAAAAACTCGTTGGCATGACAAACTGTATCATGAAAAACTTGCAGTCCCGCTGGAAATCGCCACCCCACGACAGTTCTGATTAGTTGCCTACCGTGTCTCAGTAAGGAGGATTTTATTACAACAGTTTTCCCCCTCAATCTGCTTTCCTTACTCGTGAATTATTTCTTAAACTGTGCATTTTGTACTATAGAAGATTTTTTTAATACCTATATGAGCAAAATGTATTGTGTGTGGGTTTGGTGTTTTTTTTTTCCTAACTTGTGGGATTGCTTCTTCCCCGTTAGAGGTATTTGTACTGTATTGCTATGCATATTTCTTTCAGGTATGGAAAGAAAACTTTGATAAAGTTGTGCAATAGCAAAGACTGTGAAACCAAACCAACAGAGTAGTTAAATTATTTTTTCAGATCTGAAGTGTTCTTACTGCTGCAAGCTCTTATGATTTGCTAAGAGCTTGATCTCACAGCTCTACTCTTCTGCTGCCCCTGTGTTTTTTCCTTTTAAGTTGCTGACGCTC